CAAATAATTTATGTATTTTCTTCTGTTGTACCAATATGGTAAACCTTTCCAATATAGGCATTATATAGTGCCTTATATCCCTAGCATATATTTTTAATGTTTTTGTCTAAGCGGCTTCATAAAAATGCATGGAAACTGTAGTACACATTAATTTTTACCCCCCTATAAGTTTGGAAAATGTAAGTTGACCAAATTTGCAGTAAATTGTGAATCAAGCTGCCTTTTATTGCTTTTAATGCATCAATTTCAAGTAAGCATGACTTAATCTAGATTCAACTAATGGTCTTTAATTTTGTGAATCTTTTTTCTGGATGATATAAAATAGAGATATATCAGAAAGACAACTAACTAAAAGAAATGTTGAAAAGATTTTACCTTTTAGTTAAAAGAATAAAAGAGGGAGAATATTCCCAAGGGGGAAAAAAAACAAGAACAGAAAAACCTTAATTAACTGGATCTTGATGAAATAGATTTTATATGGAATGGAGCAACTTTTCACATTAACATCATTTGTATAATAGTAATCATTATGCAAATATAAATTGACACAAATGATATACTTTTTAATTTACATAATGATCTATGAGAAATCTCTAACTTAATAATTCCCAATTCCTATTAGTCCACTTAAATGAGATTTCATTGTACATCATCACTAATCTCAGAAACTAGAGAGTACCTAACATAACTCCCAATTTATAAACACTGATTTATGATTTATATTCATGGAAAAAATATTATTGAATGAACAAATTCCCTTTCTAATTTCATAGTTTAAGATTTTGCATCAAGTGATCAAATTTTGCACCTGGATATTTGTTGGAGATAGTGCTGGGCAATAATAATGGGAAAAACATTGTCTATATCCAGAATTCTGGCAGTAAAACATGGTATGGAAAAGAGCAAATATGAAGAGAAACTTCAATTTATTCTTCATAAAGATCTGAAAAGATGTCACCTATTATTTCAATGCATTATTAGTATGTGTGGCCAAAATCTTTCTGTATATTTTCTGATTACCTTTTCTTCTCCCGGAGCTCTAGTCAAATTTTCTCAATCAAAAATTACTGAAATTGCAGGAGAATGCCCCATTTAGCAATATTAATACCCCATGAGCTTGAGAGTCTTTGTTTTTATTATTTTATTACAGTAGTTTTTAGGTCTTTAATTTTAGAGTCCTGTCTAAAATTTGATATCTTGCGAAGCACCATATTTTATGGTGCTTGCAGGCATTGCATCTCCAACCCTAGATTTAAAATGGTGGTTCTTCTCAAAAGCAATCATTGACAATGTAGGTCTGCATAAAGGAAAAACTTGCTGTAGGAGTTGCATTTAAAGAAAGAATAGAAATTTCAATTCATATAAAAAAAAAAATCCAAAACAAAGACATCGGGCAGATTTTCCTCAAGAGCTGCAGAATCTGACAATCAAGAAGAGGCAAGGCAGTTATAGGAGTTGAATTTATCATATACAGAATAAGAGAGGAAGGTGAGCAAGTTGACACTGTCTATAAAGAAGAGATGTCAACATCTGTAAATAATTTCAAACAGATGAAATGAATGTAAGGCTCTGAAGGTATTGTGTTCTTAAGAAACTTTCTGATAGTTTCAATCACTTTCAATTATTTTAACTTAGAAGCTTTTATTCTGTTTTGTTCTTTTATAGACCAAATCTATCCATGTTTATGTATTTATTGTCTTCAATGAGGCTTATTTTACAAATAGGATTTTAATATCTTATAATGAAAAACAGTTTTGGTTTTTTTTAATGTAAAATAGCAATATATATTAATCTTTTTTAATTGTAACTTTCTTCTATTTTGATTTGGAAAATTTAAATTTCCCTGAGATGAAAAACATAAAAGGGATTTTAATTAGTATTTTAGCCCTTTCTTTATAATGGACATATTGAAATAATCTATATAAGAAAAGAATAATACAAACCAATGATAGGTGAGTATTAAGATTCAAGATAAAGTAAGTTGATTATAAAGGCACTAGTATTAACATCCCTAAGATGATTGCCTGTAAGTTTTAAAGTATATAATCTATTCTGTCAAAAACTGCATTTTAAAAAAATGCATGCATCATTCTTAATAAAGCAAGTACTGCAACTTGCAAATCTACCCTTTTACATTTTTATAAACTAAAAAGAAAAATCCTACAACAATCATTTCTTGTTGTTGAATTATTTTAATGTATTTCTTTTCTCACTGTGTTGCAAACAAGTGAGCTTATAAATAACCATAAATACAAATTAAACTTCTTTTGTTAGAAAGATCAATCTTATTTACTGAGTGAACAAGAAAGAGTATAATTTGCTCTTCAATTCCTCATCAAATAAAAGTTTGTGCTAGTTGAGTAAACAAGTCACTTCAACAAATTTATTTTGTTCTTTTTTTTTTTTTTAGAACAAGAGCAAGAAAATAGCTACCAGTTAAAATAATATTGCAGGAATCAAATACTTTTTCTAGTGAAAAAGCAGCTGCTAAATTCTTAGCATTGGCATGTATACACGTCTCACAAGCTTGCCTTTCAAGCTCAGTAACACCAATATAACACGTTGTGAATTGTTTATCATTTCCCATCCACTTTTATCAAGCTCGAATAATTTCATCCTTCCCTTAATCAAAAAGAAGAGAAAGAACAGCAAGTTATAGGAGAACAAATGTCAATGAGCTTTCCAAAGACGTTATTATGAAAAACAGGATGCTGAATTAGACAAGATATTAGTATGATCCACCAAAATTTCTCTTATGGTCTTCTGAAATGACAGTGATACATTGGCAATTCGTTAGTACGTGGAAGAGATGAATAGCTGATTTTAATAAGGTAGGTTGTAAGCCAGAAATGAAGTCAAACCATAAAAGATGGTTCAGCAGTCCTGCAATCATCTAGTATGTATGTATGTATGTATGTATGTATGTAGGCACAAATAGATAAGCAGAAAGGAAAAGTGTGAGAATAGAACTTAAGACCTAGAAGGTTGTCATCAAAAGCTCGAAATTTTTCTATTGGTGAGAAAATGGCATCCACAGCCCATTCTTCCTTATATGTTCTATTTCATAAGATCCAATTAATAGTACTCCATGTTTGCTTTTCAGCCATTTTCTCCTTTTGCTCTCATTTAGAAATTGGAGATAAATAAGGAAACAAAGAAATAAGTACTCTGTTCACCCTGTAATAATTTTGACACCAGTCATTAAATGTGCTTCAAATACTAAGGTTTGCAGCTATTCTGTGTACAACCCTGCTTGACGCTAGTGCTTCTGTTAAATAATTCTTTAGAAAACCTTTCGAAGCAAAGTGCAACAATAGAATTCTTCAAAATAGTACAAGAAAAGGAAGCTTCTAAAAAGCAGAAAGGCAAAGTAATTTAGCAGTGAGGTTTTTCATTTACTATTTATCAGAATATTATTAGGTCCAGAAAAACAGGGATATTGTCCAGCACTATAGTGAATATATTGTAAAGAAACCAAAAATTGTGGTTAAAACTGCCAGTACAGAATCTGAAATAAATATTAATGTACTTTTCATTATTTCCATTATCCTATTTTGATTAATGAAAGTTATGGGTACATTCTAATTAAGAAGGGAGAAGAATCAGTTTTGCTCTGTTTATAAAATATTCAATAAAATATTCAAAAACAGAACCAAGACAAGTTAAGGAATTTGTCATTCAAACAGAATCTAGCTATTAAGTTAATGGAAACAGAGATGATTGAAAATAGTTTCCTCAGCAGTACAGCAACACAGTAATAGCACTAAATGTACATTTTTGTCAATACAAGGTAAATAAATACATCATCAATTACAAAAATCAGCATAATCTTTGGTACCAAATGTAAGGGCACCCGCTTGTTCATGGTATTTTCATATGCCATACAAGGAAACAATCTTGCTTTATTAACTGCTCAAAATATGAAATGCTTTGAGTATGATTAATTTATGTCATAGGGCCAAACTAAATGGATTTCTTCTCCATTTAACTTGTCTTCTACTACAGCCCATGGCAGGAAGCGGTGACAGTCCAAAAATAATGTCAATATTGTGGCTGCAGCCACGCAATCAAAACCTTACTCTTTGTCATCCTCCCCCGATTCTTCTGACCTTAACCATAAGATTTATTATCATGAATGTCTTTTAAAAACATGCTTAAGATATGTTTTCAAAATGACAGTTTGAAGTCAAAGCCATATGAAGCCCTCAGCCAGAACATGTTCCCTCTTGGATTTCAGGGTATAAGCCAGCCTCTGTTTGAAAATGTTTCCTGTGGCTGCTGCTGTTTGAAGCAAATAATAATTAGGAATAGATTCAAGAGCCCCAATATGAAACTATCTGAATCAGGATTTCACAACTGCTTTTTCTGTAAAACAAAACAAATCAAGAAGAGTGTTTTTCATTTGAACATGTATTTATCAATCTCTCCAACAGAAGCACATTTTTTATTATTATTAAATTTCTATGTTGCACATCTCACTGATACAACAACTCTGGGAGGCACATAAAGCAACCGCGAGATTCTAAGGCCTAGTACTCAAATTATACTTTTTTTAAAATACTGCTTAAAACAGTCTCTCTGAGGTGACTTTCCACCATCCATTTTGTCCAAGAGGAGGATTGTTAATTATGTATCATTCTTACCAGCACCACATCTTCCTGTCAGTGGTTAATGCTAATACAAAGCCTCTGTGGCTTGCAAAAACAGGGGAATGGCTCTGCATACTACAGCATCAATAAGCCTCCCATGGAACTAGTTTTGATTCTAAGGTTAAGCTGAACAAGATGATACAACATCGATTTTAACCTTCAGGTTTTTTTTAAAAAATAAGACCACTTCTTGAAGTTCACTTAGAATGTTCATGTTATTGTCTTTTTAACATCCCTTACAGAGTTCCAATACCCATTATGATAAATGCATGAAAAACAGGAAAGCAAAAGAGGAAGATTATAATACAAAGTTAGGCATTCCTGTGATCAAGGTGTCCTGTTTGATCTTTGAGATATGATCCACTGCACCTTGACTTCACTTCATTTCGTTTTAATGCCTGGGTATTCCTTTGGACATTGCCCGACTTTGTGTGGAGGCAAATGATCAGCGCACAAGTGATGAATGCATTGTTGGAGCTTGTAAACACTTCTGATTGTATACATTCAAGATTTGTTCTTAGCAAAAGTGGCACTTACTTGAACCATTGCACTCAAGATTTAGCACTTCAACAGGTAAAACAACAGCTGGTAATAGAGTGTTGATGCACTTCCTTCTGTTCTGATGGCTTGGTACAGTGCACTGGGATATATCCACTGTTTGGATCCCACTGCTGTTCTATAAAATCTGAATTTCCTGTATTTCTCTTGAAATTTGACTTGTGCATTATTGCTGTATACATTTCCCTGTGGTCAGTTTAAGTGCTCCTTTATTATGTAACATGTTCAGTGTTTTAAACTCTAATGGCATCCTATGGGGGCTAGCGTTTGAAAAGTATCTGTACTTTAAGTCATCATAATAATGATATTTGACTGGTTTTCCATTTATATCCTTTGGGAAGGGCCAGAATCCATAAAGGTGAATTTCATCACAGAACCTCGTCGCAAGAGTATACATAAGGAGTCCAGTGCTGGGTCGCTTGATGTAAACTTTGTTGGTTAGCCAGTAACTGTAGAAGTTGGAAAACAAACAGAAGTACATTTGATTATTAAGAAGCTTTATTTCAACTTCAACAAGAATATCTTAAATTATTTTCTCCTTGAAATATGCTTTTCTAAGCCTTTTGTATCACAATAAACATATTAGACTGCACTTTAATACTATTTCAGACAAACATACTTTGTGGTAAGGTTGAAATAGAAAACCTGGTGTTTAGTAAAAAATCTAATCCACACATAAGCCTGGAAAATGGCAACCAAATCACATATAAGAATTCACTAAGGTTTAATTAAGGTCACATCTCAGGGATGGGAGCATTTTCTCCAAACAGCAAGTGTCTGTATATTGAATTAATATTTAACTACAGGATTTCTAAGTATTCCCCACTCCACCCACTCCTAATAAAGCATGAGTATCAAATATAGTTACATATTCAGATAAGAGTAGATATAATATTAAAAATTAAATCCTGCTACTAGCTTAACTTATATGAACAACATGGTTTAATCCCCAGTTCACAATTTGTTTTCTGTCCCACTCACTTTATTGCTCATACAAAGAAACACATTCAGCACAAAATGCTTCCCACTACCAGCAAAAAAAAGTTTGAAACAGCAACTCTGAGAAAATCACATTCCTCCAAATTAATGGAATCATTGCTACTCCCCGTGGCAAAAGTATGCTAAGTGGTCTTAGGGAAGCAGAATTTCTTTCAACTTCATCTATACACCTCTATGGTCTTGCAATTCAACAAATCATTGCTGTATCTTGTGTTTTCACTGAGAAACAGAAGTATATTTTTTATTGAAATTGACAGCTGAAATGTAGCCTGAGGCAAACTACAAGAGTAAGGCTCAGGTACGGAGTATTTCTAGGGAATGATTAAAAAAAAAAAGTTAAGATGACAGCCATAGCACTTTATAGTACTCTCTGAGAGGTTTACAATGTGTTATTTGCATATTGCTTCCAATAATCTGAATCCTCATTTTACTGACCTCTGAAGGATGGAAGGCAGAGTCAACTTTGATTCTTATGAGGATCGAACTCCAGTTGTGGGCAGAGTTTGCCTGCAATACTGGACTTTAAGCACTGCGCCAGTAGGTGTCTTTGTTTTTAATGTGCTACTGTTGTGATGATCCTTTTTTTGTTAACCATATCCTGCAGATTTCCCTGGGTGGAGGTGAAGTAGATTCATAATACCTAGAACTTAGGAGCTGGTTTCTTGTTTTGGCCCAGGATGAACGTTATCTTGCAAATAGAATTCAGTCATTTCATCCCATAATTGAGCATTGAAATGAGACCACCAATGTCTTCCTGGAAGGGCCACCATCCCAATGCAGATGTTTTTCCCTCACAAATGAACAGTGCTTAACTGCTGCCTAATCCTATCTCACATCAGTTCAATATATGACACCAAATAAAAGCAGCCATGAGGATCCCAGACTGGATCAGAACTGGAGCACTTATGATGAGGAATTTAATCCTGACCCTGCTGTTTTTACATACACACCTGCCCTTGTCTCTCTTGCAATCTACAATTTTGGAAAAGATATAGAACCATCACACATATTTCCCCATTTAGATAAACAACACCTGGTGAAAGAATTTATATCAGTAGTATGGTCAGAAAAGAGAAAGATCTATTCCTGGTTTTGGTTTTCCCCCTTCCCCAGTTGCTGCAGTGGCGGGTCTTGTGGCTGTTTTAAAAGAAACTTAAAAATATAGAGATAGTCGGTTAGGTCTGGCGGTTAAGGCACTAGACTAGAAGCAGAGTAACCTGAGTTCCAGTCTTGCTTTAGACATCCAAACCAACTGGGGTACTGCAGACCAGTCAATCTTTTTTCCTTCCCTTCCCTGGGAAGAAGGTACTAGTAATTCCACTTTCAAAAATGTTGCCAAGAAAAACTACAGAGAGTTATCTTTGTAATCTCTTAGAGTCAGGCTGACTGAAAGCTATACAAAGCATGAGCACAGACCTCAACTCCCCTTTTATATTTGAGTCTGTCAGCTGTTGCTTTTACAGTCTGAATGTAGATGGAGAAATCCATAACTCAGAAAAATGCTTTTGCTGAGGCAAGAAGGCTTAAGAGTACAGAAATATATTTTGTAGGAAATCAGACCATCTCAAGTTGAATTAGTTACTTTTCAATTGTACACTCCTTTCCCAATTTTCAATTAACACTTCCTTCTCAATATAGCAACAATAAAAATGTATTAATTGTGAGTTGGATCCTTTAAAAAGCAACTGTTGAAACAACAGTGACAGACGGGGATGGGCGGAAATTAGAAGACTATGTAAAGCATTTGCTAATTTTAAACTTATTTTGTTCTTTGCTAAGTGAGATAAAGTATCTTGTCTAGCAGCAAACCTTTTAAGAGATATTACAGGATGATTTTTTTCTGGTACACTTAGAATAAATCCAAAATAACTGCATACTTCAGTTATTTGACACTTAACAAAGACTTGTCTTAGAAAATGCACATCAACACATACACATATAAATTCAAGCCTGCTAATGTGAAACAAGACAGAGATGGTAATGTGTTGTTGCTGTTAGAAGCACAATATCAAATGTATAAAACTAAAATGTATAAAACTCTGTATCACGTTTAATTCTTTTTCCAAAGATCAGTTCTAAGTGCTTTCAAAAGCAGCAGTTAATTCAACGAGCAAATCACTCATCGATTTAACTTAAACCAGATTAATACATGACAATGATAATAGCCAATGGTCAGAAGATTCTGCTGCATGCATTGATCGATTAAAATGCTTTCAACTTTGACAGTTTGCAAGCTCCATGGTTGTGTAGCTTGGGCTGAAGTCCTTTTGACTGCCATGTGTGTTTGTGTGATAGAGATGCTATGATCTTTCTTTGGCTTGAAAAGGGCAGAAAACGGTTCTTGTTCGAGCAAGAATTATGTTGTAAATGACAACTTGCCAATATTGGCGCCACACTGAGCTGAAAATATGCAGAAACCCTAGCAATTAATGTAAGGTCGTATTTCACACCAAAATGCAAAAAGGTCAGCCATATGTGGATTTGGATTTCTAACTGGGCCTCAACATCCCATGGGAAAGTTTCTTTGGAAAAGGTTGCTACAGAAGCTGAATTCTTTGCTGTAGCAATTGCCATATAAAAGTCTCAGCTTACCAGGATACAACAGAAGTCATTTTTATGGCTCAAAACTTCGGGACATTTATTTCACCAGGAAAGAATAACATCAACAACCCTCTTTTGTGTTGTACCAACTATGGAACTAGATGCAGCTTTCTCATACTGAGCCAAAGACACTTAAAAATCCAAAATGTAAAAAATGCCACCTTGCATTGACAGGAAAAATAGCCTAAAATTTACTGATTGTAAGTTTAATTCAGCTTCTATCTCTACAAAGGTTAATCCCCATCACAAGGGCTCATCTATGTGTCCTAACAGTGCTTGTAGATGCCTCGCTAACTATGGCCTGGTTTTGCTTTTACCTGATATGGCATTAAAGTGATGCTCTCAACCTTCATCCAACAAAAGCCTTGCTCTAAGCACAATTTTGGATGTTTCAAAAACCATTGTGGTGAAGTAGAACAGGGGTGTCAAACTCAAGGCCCGTGGGATGGATCTGGCCTGCAAGGTGCTTAGATTTGGTCCGCAGGGCTGCCCTGGAAACAGCAAAGAACCAGCTCGTGGTGCCTCTGCCATTGAAAACAAAGCTCAGGGAGCTCCGTTATCACTGGCAGAGGGCTGCAGGGAGACGTTGTGGCTGAAAATTGAGCGTTGACAAGTGACGCTGAGCTGACCACGCACCCTGGGCAACCCATGAGGACAAACACAACCCTGATGCAGCTCTCAATGAAATCGAGCTTGACATCCCTGAAGTAAAGGATGTGGGTTTACCTGTAGCTCTAATTAGCCTCTTCCAAGCGCTGCATACACAGCCATACATTTCAGCCTGACAATTCCTGGGGAAATATTTAACTGTCAAAGAGAAAAGGGGACAAGAGCTTTCTGAGCCTAATCACATTTTCTTTTCTCATTTAAGTGACTCTATGCTTGCTATTTAGAACTTATACATATGAAACTAGAGTAATGCAGGCTTTTTTATTGCAGCTTTTGATTGCCATTCTGCTCATGATAGAGTGGCAGAGAGGATGAACAAAAATGGCAGGAGTGGGGAGACCATCTGTTGGAGCCTACAAACAGCCTCCCCATCAGCTGTTTTCAGACATAGTGAGACAGAGAGTGAAAAAAAGGGCAAGAAAGAGCAAGACAAATCAAGCAAGAGACTAAGATTAGGAAGGAGCACAAGAAGCTGAATGAAAGGAAACGCAAAAGAGCACAAGAAGGAGAGAGAGGCAATTTGCAGATCATTTTTGAGGTGGGTAGAGGTCTCCTTAATATAACAGGACAGCTTCTTCTACAGGTCTCGAAAATTCTTTTCCACCCTGTGAATTGGCTGCAGAGCTTGGATGACAGGGTGAATTGGGGCTTTCTTGTAAAGGAGGAAGGCAGAAAGACCCTACTTATTTCTGAAGATCAGGTTAGGACAGATGACTAAATCCATGGATTACATCCTTGGTCAAAACTCATCTCTCCCCAGCCCCATTCAATGTTAAGGGCAGCAACCAATGGTTATTTTTCCTATGTGTAGGAAGTTCACCAATTATTTTTCTTACCTTGTTACATACTGAACATATAAAAACACTACTACTCACAGGTTTCATCACTGAGACAGATTACAGCACAGCTGTCAGGAGAGAGCAAATTTTGCCAGGATACTTTATGCTGGCATGTGGATTGGAAAAAAGCATATTAAAGTGGCTGTCTGGATGAGTCCCAATTTTCTATCTTCAGTTAACTCATTTAGGAAGGCTAGTGCCAACACTTAATGAGTGAACCAATGCTAATGAGAACAGAGCTCCATTTTCATTGCCTGGACCACTTCTTACAATAAATAATTGCAGGAATTTTAATTTAGTCTATATTTCTCCAGCCTCAGGTTTACTCTATTGATACATAT